ACACGGGCCTCCACCCACAGCCCACCGGAACACAGGTGTCCGCACACCGCACCCCCGAACGCAGGTGTCCGCACACCGCACCCCCGAACACAGGCATCCGCACACCTGAACACAGGTGTCTGCACACAGTACACCCGAACACAGGTGTCTGCACACCCAAACGCAGGTGTCCACACACAGCACACTGGAACACAGGTGTCCGCACACCGCACCCCCGAACGCAGCCGTCTGCACACCGCACACCCGAACACAGGCATCCGCACACAGCACCCCTGAATGCAGGTATCCACACACAGCACACCGGAACACAGGTGTCTGCACACCCAAACGCAGGTGTCCGCACACCGCACCCCCAAACACAGGCGTCCACACACCGCACCCCCGAACACAGGCGTCAGCACACCCAAACGCAGGTATCTGCACACCGCACCCCCGAACGCAGGCGTCCGCACACCGCACCCCTGAACGCAGGCGTCCGCACACCCAAACACAGGTGTCTGCACACCGCACCCCTGAACACAGGCGTCCGCACACCCGAACGCAGGTGTCCGCGCACCTGAAGGCGGGTGACCGCACACCCGAGCACAGGCAGGGCCTCCCGGAGGCTGAACGTGCGGGTCTGTAGAAAGTCCTGGGTTTGTGCAGCTCGGAGCTCTGCAAACCAGGGACGGTTAGCTGGGCCCCGCCCCTTTGCTCATCATGGTGTCCCTGTGCTGCTCGTAGGCTTCCCTTTGCTGAGCCTTTAGCATGGGGTTGTGCCATGAGTCACCTGGGCTAAGGTGTTCTCAGGAGCCGTAATCTGCATTGTGATCATTCCTTGGCTTGGAAGAACTCATGGTCTCCCCCTCCTCGCCATATTGGGCTTACCCTCATCAAGAGCACGTCCGTCGCCTTCCCTTTAGGATGGGGGGCAGGCAGGGTGTTGGGTGTCTCTCTGGACACGTTGGCAGCTTCCAGGCCTGGCATTCCGAAAACTTGAGTGGCAAGGTTTTGATGGCCTCTGTTGACCTTTCAGCACATGTGGTCCCTCTAGTTGTGGTTGGTTTTTAAGTGTCTGTGTGTAAGAGTACCTCTCGCTGTATGAATGACGGTGCTGGGGAAGGGAGCCAGGGCCTAGCCGTTGAAATGCGGCATTTCCTCCCACTTGGCGGTCACAAAAACTAGGCTTGTAAATAGTTTTTCTATTTATTTTGTGTACTTTCTGCAGCTCCGTGTGCCGAGTGCCGGTGGGTGGCCGCGTTGGGCCATTGCCTCACATTGGACACAGATCAAGGCAAGCACCAGTCCAGTGTCCTGTTCTGGTGGGATGATTTTTTTTAATGACGCAACATTAAAAAGTCGAAGCATTAAATATTTTTCTTCATCTCATCTTCTTAAAGCTGGTCGTAGCCGGTCGGCAGGACCTGGTTGCCTCGCGTGGCCGGCTGGGCTCTGCACTCTGTTGGCCCTGGCACCATAAGCAATAAGATTCGTAGGAATAAGTTCAAAGTCAGTAAAACCATGGACTGTGGAGGGGGTGGGGAATCTCGCTGCAGATTGGTTTGCCTTTGCACGGGGACCTGGTAGCTTAGAACTACCCTTTATGGTTCTGTGTGCTCTCGGGTCTCCTTATGACAGGAAATCACGGACCTGATGGCAGGGCTGGACCCGACACCGGCTGGGGGAGTCTGGGGAGGAAAGATGTCAACGGGCTTGTATTCCAGTGGGCATCTGACTGGGGCAAAACCCCTGATTATTTTAGGAATCCCCTGAAATGGCCAGGATGGACCAAGCTACTTATTAGCCTGTTGCAACTTAGGACCTTTTAACTAATGTCCCGATCTTGTGTCTGCTCTTCTGGTTGTGGAAAACGTAATTCCACAGGCACAGAGGAGGGGACCTACCCGCCGCGTTCTTGTGTTGTGCAGATGTTCTTAAGGCATTTAGCCAGACTTCCTCGTGACCTACCCAGACGGCTCCCAAACGCTCCCTGGCTCTTTGCTAATGGCTTTCTAGGATTTGGTTCTAGGGTTTTTGTATTTATAAATGTGTTTAGAATTTTTTTCACTCTTTTTGTTCTTGATGTATGTCTTGGTTCTAGCCCTCAGGCAGAGGAAACCTAGCCCCCAAGCTGTCTACACTGGAGCATATGAGTTAGGTTGGATCGTCTCGTGCTTCTAGTCATTTAACTTATGAAAGCTCCCAAGCTTTTGTTTCCTGGTCACATAGGACTCTCCCCTGCCCCCTGCAAACTTCCTCCTTTGGGACATTGTAGAAACCAGTAATTTTCGCTTTTAAAGTGTTTGTCAACTTTGAAATGGTAGTTCCTTTTTAATAACAAAAATGTTTTTCTGCATCTACATCTGCTGCCCTTGTAGAACTTTGTAGTTTCCTCATGACCCTGATATGAGAAGCCCAGGACCATACAAGTCCCCTGCCACCCCGTCTGGTACTGTATGTATGAGCCTAACCAATGTGAACTTTAGAAAAGAGCTATGAGGACTGTAGGCTGGTGACCGTAGAGGTTTGAGGATCTGGCTTGGATCTGCATTTCCGTTCTGTTCTGGGTATTAGGAAATACTTCAGTGAGACTGGAGAAAATGAAATGTCTGCTGTGAATTGCGGGTCGGAGTGTTGAACAAGGTTTTCATTCGCTCATGTTTACATACCTCACCTGAAGGACCTTGGAAAGTGTATATAACAAAATACAATTCTATTGAGTTGCTTTAAAACAATACGTGTAACTGTAAGAGTTGGAGTGAGCTGAACTGTCTCAAGTCTCTGAATAGTGACGTGAACTCTGTGCTCCTGTGTTTTATTTCCTGTTAGACTCTGGGAGAAGTTGTGTTCTTGTTACTGGTTAAACTCCTTCAGGATTCCCACCACCTTGTTTTCTTTTATTCCTTAGACGTTGTTGATAACGACCCAACGAGCTTTCTAAAGGTCCTGATTTTATTGCAGCTTATTAAACTTCCCTTTGATATCGAAGCCTGCTTGGTGTGGTAACTGGGGGGCGAGTGAATGGGCCTGAGGGGTGGTTGAAGTCTCGGACGTTCCTGACTCCTAGCAGCTCTCCTGCTGGTGCTGCCCCTCAGCCACGCGTCCCGCCCTCGCCCACTCCGGGGGAGCTGGGAGTGGTGCTGGTTCCAGGAGCGAATGGAACGGGAAGTGCCTGGGGCCAGCCACGGCCACAGCAAGGGCAGTTTGCTCGGCAGGCGATCCCTGAATCGCCAGCAGTGTCCAAGGTAACCCCCGTGGGACTGGGGCCTCCTTCCCGAGGACGTGCCAGGCCCCTGCCGGCGGGGCACAAAGGGAGAACGTTGCAGCGTCTCAGTAAAGCACACGGAGCATGAGCGCTGGGGTTTTTAAACATGCGTGAGCGAAAGGGTCCCTCTGCCGTCAGCGAGCAGAGCGTCTCGAATCCCATCCAGCCTGGGCCCAGCCAAGCCCTACCCTGACCGGCCTTTGCTCTCAGTCTGACCCTCCATTGCTGGTAAAACGGCTGGTGGCCCTGAGCTGACACGGGGTGGGAGCCGGGAGTGTCCAACCAGGGACAGGATGGGTTCCCTAGGGAGGTGGTGGAATCTCCTTCCTTAGAGGTTTTTAAGGCCCGGCTTGACAAAGCCCTGGCTGGGATGATTTAATTGGGGTTGGTCCTGCTTTGAGCAGGGGATGGGACTAGATACCTCCTGAGGTCCCTTCCAACCCTGATCTTCTATGATTCTATGCAGCTGTGAACAACCCCTGCGAGCAGTGCGGCCCTTCCTGGAGCGTTTCTCTAGGGGGGGACAGGGCCCGGCGCGGGTAGGTGCTGCAGACCCACCGCCATTGGCATTCGCACTAGGCCCTGCCCACATCCCCGATGACCCTGCCCAGGTCACGGTTGGGCCGGTGGGAGTTTCAGGGCCCAGGCTCCTGCTCTCAGCTCAGCACTGCACCGGGGGAGGTCTCTGCAGGGCCCAGCTCCAGCGCACACCCTCAATGACTGGGGCTGTCGGGGGGAGCCAGCAGGGTGCTCCCGTGGGCTCATCTTCCCATGGCCCCTTCTGTGCCTCGCTCCAGCACCTCGCCTCATCCTCCGCCCCCAGCTCCCCTCCCGCAGCGCCCGTGGCTACCACTTCATCAGGCTCTGGCTCCCGAAGCTCAGACCCCCCCTCTACACCGCTCGCCCCTCGGCTCACCTCAACTACTCCAGCCTCGAGCTGCTGCCCCTGGCTTCAGCTCCCAGCCCCCCCATTTGCCCTCGGTCACGCCTCCCCTGGGCAGGGGCTGTTTTGTGACGTGTGTCCCTGGAGCCTTCTGACTCCAGCGGCTCTGGATGTCCTTTTTCCTCTCACCCCAGTCCCGTGCTCGAGTGGGACCCGCATCCCGGCCAGCGTGTCTGGGCTGCCCGGCCGTGTGCACACCCGCTGTGTGCCGAGGACGCAGCCCGTGGAAAGTGCTGGGAACTGGGCAGCGTTTCACATGGAGCAGGGGGGTCCTGCGTGGGGATCCCAGCGCCGGGGCTGGGCCCGATGCTGCTAGCAGGAAAGATGAGACCAGCCCGGCATCTCTGAATGAATAAATGTCATGTTCACGTGGAAGACAAAGCGACACGATCACACAGCTTCTAAAACAATACTGCCTCTGCTAGACACTGGCCACGCGTGGCGCCTCCCTGGCCCGGCTCTACCCAGCACCTCGACGTGCGAAAAACAAACAGGCAAACGAAGCCTTTGTCCTTCGGCTGCGGCGCCGCGGCTGCCACCGAACCGAACTGGCCGCTGGCTTGCCCTGAACGTAGAAAAATACTATAACAAACTGAAATACAAATATATATTAGAATCTGTAAGTATTCTGTATAAAGAGATACTTTAGAGGTTAGCTTACAACGAGCAACAGAAAACGACCCCAGCCTTGGCATCGGGCGAAACACGGCGCAGCCCGGCACGGCTCAGCAGCGGGCAGCCGGCGGGCTCAGGACGGGGGGTGCCTGGGTGTTGGTTGGTTGGGCTGGGGCGAAGCCAGCATCAATTAAAGCTCTTGACAGAACTTGCTGCAAACTGCCCTGATGCCTGAGGGCGGGACAGCGCCCGTGAACTGGAGCAGTCAGCCCGTGGGCCCGTCCGGGGGCGTCTCAATGGGCCGGGAACCAGCCACCCCCAGGGCGTGGGAGAGCGGCAGGGGTACATCACAGGAGCAATGGCCCTGAGCTGGGGGGCCGGGCGGGGAGCTGTGCTGGCAGCAGGGCAAGTGCCTGGCCTGGGATATCCCCACCCTCTCCCCTCGCAAGCCCCCAGGGACACAGTGGTGCTGTGTGGGGGGGGGCCTGTCGCACCCCCAGCAGGATGTGGTTTCCAGTCTATCCAGTTTGGCTCAACGGCTCAGCCGCTCAGGACCCCCAATACACACGTTCCAGCCCCCGGGCAGGACTGCCAGGTGCCCGGTTTCTGACCGGAACGCCCCATCAAAAAGGGACCTGGCGGCTCTGGTCAGCACCACTGACCGGGCCGTTAAAAGTCAGGGGCGCAGTGGGGCTAAGGCACCTCCCTGCCTGTCCTGGCTCCGCGTGGCTCCTGGAAGCAGCGGCACGTCCCTCCTCCAGCTCCTACGTGTGGGGGCAGCCAGGGACCTCCACATGCTGCCCCTGTCCCAAATGCCAGCTCTGCAGCTCCCATTGGCTGGGAACTACGTCCAATGGGCACTGCGGGGGCAGTGCGCAGAGCCACCTGGCTGCGCCTCCGCATAGGAGCCGGAGAGGGGGGACATGCCGTTGCTTCTGGGAGCTGCTTGAGTTAAGCGCCGCCTGGAGCCTGCACCCCTGAGCCACCCCCTGCACCGCAACCCCCTGCCCTGATCCCCCTCCCACCCTCTAAACCCCTCGGTCCCAGTCCCACCCCAGCGTCTACATACCCAGCCAGAGCTCTCACGCCCCCAACCCCAGAGCCCCCTCCCACACTCCTTATTTCTGGTCCCACCCTGGAACCTGCACCCCCAGCCCAGAGCCCTCACTCCCCCCTCCCACACCCCAACCCTCTGAACTCATCCCTGGCTCCACCCCAGAGCGCCATGGGGCTGCTTCCTGCCCACCCCAGAGCAGGACTCAACCGGGCCTCCACACTGCGCCAGCTGGTGCCACCAGCCTCATGCGGGGCGCCCCGGCCTGGGCCTCACGCGCACTTAGCTGCTGGGCCCCCCAGTCACGGGGAGGCCTCCTGGTTTTTCGAGTGCCCTATTCCAATGGGGAGCAGGGCAGTGTGGGGTTGGGCCTACAGGCCGATTCCCTCCACATACACACATACCCCCCCCCCGGCAGCATGCAGGGCCCTGCGCTGGCGTAGCCTGGCTCGTGGGAGCGGGGGTTAAATAGCCCAGCTGTCCAACCATTCACTGCCCCCACCCCATGGCACACAAACACTAGGGCAGTGACACGGCCCTGTGTTAACTGCAGGCGGGGG